TTAAACAAAAGTAATTTTAAAATAAATAGTTACAAAGACTATTTAAGCCAATTTTATTAAAAAAAATTTTAATTGATTATTATTAGTTATAGTTAGAGATGAAATCAACATGCCCAATTGATTGGTATTCTCTCCGTTTTTTATTATAAGTCATTTTTAATTTTTCACATATATTAAAAAATATAATAATTATAGTATAAAAAAGAGAAATTGTGAATGTTTTATAAAACTGTTATTTATTAATGATATTGTAAAGATAAATTTATATAAATGAGAAAAGAAAAAATAATAAATATTTAAAGATATAAAAAAAAATAACATTAATATTTTATTAATATTATAAAATAATTTATATTGTGGTACAAATTTATTTTTCAAAATAATTTATAATAGAAACGGAAGTTGTATTAATAAAAGTAAGATTAGATGTGGAAGTAAATTGCCTACATTAAACATTTTTCATGCTCTGTTCTTGTAATCTTTAAAATAAATTTTAGAAGAAAATGTTAGAAAAAATTATGAATAGATAAGAGAAGATATGTGTCGCTTTTATCATAAATTAGCGTTCAGACGGGCACTTGTCTGCTTTTTTAATACGTATAAAAATATAAACGACATTTTTTGTTAAAATAATTTTTTTTTTAAAATATAATATGTAAAAGTTAATAATAAAAAGTTATGTGGAAGTTAAAAATAATAAGTCATGTGGAACTTATTAAGTAAATTACACAATAAAATAAGGATAAAAATGATAGAAAAATATAACACACCAAAACAAAATACTCCCTTTATATATTATATAGATAAATAAAAAAGAAAGACATCACTATATATAAAAAAAGAGGTAAAACATATTATCACGGTTAAAATATCTAACTGTAGTGAAATCCGAATTATATTTAATTTATAAATAAATAAATAAAAATCGACTATAATATTAAAGAAATCACAAATATATATTATCATGTTACCAATTATATATATAAATTATAAAATGATATTAACCTTTAAATAAAAGATAAATAAAAATAGTATTCTCTAATTTTAGATATATCACCACGACCTTTTAAAGAACCACGTCATAGTAATTTTGTAATGTAAACCCTCAATTTCAACTATACATTCATTTATTAGTTTATCATCTATTTAGAGAATGAAGTAATTGTGTCAAAGTTCTAGCTAACATGAGTCTTGGGCATGAATCTTGTCGACATAGATATAGTAGTAAACCACCGTGACAAGATATAAATTTTGTGTTTTAATGAGCATGAAGATATTACAAGTTCAAATGGTATGATTGAGGGTGTTTAGTTGGATTGGAATTATATGGATCAATGAAACGGCGAGTTGGAAACATAATATGATATGGTTCCTAAGATTAGTTGTTAGATGTAAATCTAAAGTAGTAAATTTGATTTGGTTCGTAATATGTTGATGTATTTGAAGAACTAGGAATAATATCCTATAATTTAATGATGATAGTTATAATATTGAGTCTATATACCAATTTATTGTTTTTATATTCTTAGAGATGGTTGCATATTGCATCAAACAGTTAGGATAGAAATAGTCTTTATGAGTGGAGAAAATTTCTCTTAGAAATTTTGTAGGTTAGTTGGAATGAATATTGTTTATGATTATATTGATATTGTTGAGTTAAAGATTCCCTTAATCTCTTTATAATACATAATTTACTTATAAATAAACATGGATCTTGGCATTTTTAAAAGTATAAATAAGATAAAATTATTTGTGTAAAGAAAAATTTTAATTACTATAAAATCACTTTTTTTTGGGCTCATGAATGAAAAATGAGGTTACCAATTTTCTGACCTGCCCTCTGATCTTTGTAATGATACTACAGTACAATTTTCAACAGAAATAATTTGGAAGTCAACCATAGCTATAGCACTCAATCGTTATGACATATGAAAATGATTATGAATAGCCTAACCTTTTTGGACTAAAACTGTTGTTCAACAATTAAGAAGCTCATACATCTTTTCTCATGATTGAAACAAAATATAATATTTTTTTTTAAATTTAAATTTACAGCGTATAAATTTAAAATTTTCACTCTAATATCCATATTTCACCCTACTATTTATCCTTATATCCATCTTTTTAAATTAATTTTCATTCTATTCATATTTTAAATAATTTTTTTTATATAAGAGGGTCGTCATATCCTATAAAGTCATTCTTATAATTTTTAAGGGGGGCGTCATCTCCTATGAAGTCACCCTTATAATTATAAGGGGAGCGTCATCTATGATGGAGTCACCTTTAAACGAATTTTTCAAGTTATTTTTAATAAATAATATTTATTAAATAATATTTAATAATTAAATAATATTTAAATAATAAAATATTTAAAAAATTAAATAAAAATTAAAAATTAAATTGTATTTAATAAATAATATATTATATAATAATTAATATTTTCATTTAATAACAAATGAGTACATATATGGTACACTAATTTCTACGACTAGGTCGAGCTAAATGGCCGCCTGTACCGCATCCTCTAGTACGTACGTTTCTTCGTGATCTTTGTGGTGGAGACGGGTACAATGGATCGTCTTCAAGAAATTGGATCATTTGGATCATTAAAAATATAACGATTATTACAATATAAACTAAGATATAACAACAATCAAAGTAATATCATCAATTCCGAACATCATAGACCTAACTTCGTTGTCATCTTTAATTCGCACTCACTCCCGCCGTATATGTCTATCTGCAATCGAGAAGTACAAAACAAAATTTTTAATACTTTTAATTTGCACCCACTCTCGCCGTATATTTATTAAATACAATTTAATTTTTAATATTTATTTAATTTTTTTAAAATATTTTATTTATTAAATATTATTTAATATATATTATTTATTAAAAATAATTTTAAAAAATTCATTTAAAGGTGACTTCATCATGGATGGCGCCCCCCTTATAATTATAAAGGTGATTCTATCATGGATGACGCCCCTCTTATAATTATAAGGGTGATTCCATAGGGGATGACGCCCCTCCTTATAATTATAAGGGTGACTCCATAAGGGATGACGCTCCTTTATAAGAAAAACTTTTTTTGTTTGAAATGTGGGTAGAATGAAAATTAATTTAAAAGGGTGAATATAATGATAAATAATAGGGTGAAATATGAGTATTAGGGTGAAAAATTCTATAAATTTATACGTTTAAAAAAAATGGAATTTTTTTTATTCATGAGTTTATAATTTATTTAATTAAATTATAATTTATTTGAGAAACTGTTACTCATTCTATTTTATAATCTATATCCACATTGAATTAGCAGTGCTAAATTTAAATGCTAGAAAACATAATTAACTTAAATTTGATTTAATTTAAGTTAAGGTTTGAATAATGATGTTTCAGTAGCTTATAACTGTAACCACCATATAATTTAGAGGGACCAATCAATAGACAAGAAGCATTTAAAAGTTGTAATAAAAACAAATTCCAACTCACCAACAATAAAAAGTTGTACCTTCATATTTCTATGGTTATATTTAACAACCCCACATAAAACACATTTATTGTTTTCATGCTTTAATCTCCACTATGTTTTGGAAAGAAGAAATAATTGGCGTTATCTATATCTTTTATTGTTAGCCAAGAAATTCATAACCATAAGATAAGGACAAATCACAAATAACCTTTTTCCTTTAATGGTATTTTTTATTATTATCTAAATTTTAGTGTAAATTAAAGCTTTCAACTAATGGCTAATCACTATCACCATGCATCTACTCATCAAAGTTCATAATCATGGCGAAAAATGGTATTTAAGATACATGATCCATTAAATTTAAAATAATTACATCAAATCTCAACTATTAATAGAAATAAATCAAACGACTATATAAATGATTTTTTTTTTAAAAAATTATCATATATTTATTTTATTTTATTTGATGTTTATTTCAATTATATTTACAATTAAGATTTGATATAAGATTTTTAGACTTATATTTAATGTCAACGAATTCGGTTATATATTAACATATCAAATTTCATAAGTTTTTTGATAACTATTTAATTAAATAAGTTATTTCAAATATTTAATCCTAACTTTTTTTTATAAAAAAATGAGACTTAAATAATTTAGATTATAAGCCCATACAATTTATAACATATTTACATCCCTAATCATAATTACTTGCAACTATTAATTATAACATTGAAAACTTTACATTAAAATTCTAAAATTAAAATTACATGCAATTAAGAAAATTTTAAAATCCTCTGAATCACACATTTTAAATTGTTAATTTCAATCAAATAACTTATGCCTCAAGATTTAATTAAACTAGCTTCAAACTTAAATGTTAGAATACGTTTTGGTTGATCCATGGCAAAAACAACAATAAATGTAAATTTTTAAACCGTAATATACATTAGTGATAATGAATAAAAATATTTTTTAAAAATTCTTTCAATAAAAAATAATCCAATTCAAAACATTGGTTCCTAAAGTTTGAACTTCAACTTATTAAGTTGCACAAATTTAATTGTTTTTTCTATATTCAACCTTAATTAATAGATTAAACTTTTGTAATATCAACTCAAGAAAATGGAAAAATATATACAAATATATGATATTTATAAAATAAAAACAGAGCTTCACATAACACCAAAACTATATAGTGTGACTAAAATTCTATCCTTTTACAGAAAAAAACAACACCATAAGCACCACCAACACCTCTCCATCTTGAAAATCCATGATTCAAGAGGGGGTAAAATAAAATAAAAAACCACAATATCATAGTAAATCAATCACATGCTATAAGATTCATGTGACTTTTTACTTGACCAAGTAGTAAAATGTAAAAGGTGCTTAAAAATATCATAAAATAAAATAAAAAGTTTGTTATTTTCGATTATAGTTCTAGTTAAATCTTCGTGGTTGAATTGAACTGATCATGATCAGTTCAACCATCGAGATTTAACTGAAACAATCGATAAATGTTCTATCTATCGCGTGAGTTGTTGTAAGGTGATTGAATTGCTGCCAGTTTCTGTTGCAAATTGAGATTTCTATAAAACCTTTTAATAAATTCTTCAGCTGCAACGTCAACATGGCTATGATCGTCACCTTCTTCTTCCTTCAGAGGAAACGGCGAATCCGTGATTCTGATTTTTCTCCCGATAGGACTTTTTCCAAATCCAGGAAATGTCACCATTGGAGATGGAGAAGAAAAAGAAGAAGCATCAACATCATTGAGAATCTCTAGAACCTTCTGAACGGTAGAAAACTCGTTCTGGTGGTGGTGGTGGTGGTGGTGACGGTGGTTTTTAATCTTGCTGTGGAGTTTAACGACGGCGGGACTGTTGCTGCAACTGAATTCGTAGTCGTGGGGAGAGACGAACGAGGCGGCGGCGGAATGGTGGCGGAGAGTGAGAGTGTTGGCGATAGCTTTAACGGCGGCGACTTTGCCGCGCTTTAGCAAGAGATTTAATTCCGCTACCATTTTGCTTTTGGCTATGCCTTTTGTTAACATGAATAAAACTATGCGTAGTGTTTTCCATACTTTCTTTGCTACCATTGGTTGGTTTTTTTCAATCTCCATTGATGTTGTTTGTTGTAACGGTTTTGATGAGTTTGTTATAGAGAGAGAGAAAGAGGTTGTGATTTGATATGGATTGATATGGTTTGTGAAATGAGAAGAAGGAGTTTGGGGTATATAAAGGGATTCTAGTATAATTATCCATTAAGAAAAGTAGATTAATAATTAAGCGTTTTTGAAAAGATAATTACACTAACTTAAAAGTTTCACTTTTTCAATGTAAGAGCGCGTGTGTAGTAGTTATTTGACTTCCCATTAGGAAGGAGTATAATAATGGGAAAAAAGAGAGAGGTAATAGATTTGAGAAATTATATTTTAATCTATTTAGAAGGAAATAAACAAATTATGTGGGTTTTAAAAAAAAAAGTTGATGGGACGCATATGAATTTGACTAATAAAATAAAGTGGGTTGATAATTGTATGTTAAAAAGATGTGTGGTTAATATATTTTTCTTAACCTCTTGTTCTATGAGCACTCCACTCCAATCGATATATTTAAAAGAGTTCACTTTGTGTATATCATGTGGATTACTTTTGGCTTTCTTAGGAGGCATCTAAACGTAATTTATATCGCTATTCATTCGAACATGTTTTGAATTTGATGTAGAAAAATTGATTTTATATTTGAATTTGAGTTTTTATCGATTATAAATTAAATGGATTAGTCGGATAATGGAAACGCTAGTCCTCAAACTCGCACCTAAACTCGTCCCGTTTATTTCATCATGTATTTGTTATTAAACTTTGATGAATTAAAATATTAAATATGTGGTCAATGTTTTAATATTTTTATTTGTGTTTATTTAAAATATTTGTAATAAATTAATAAAATTTAATGACATACTTTTATTTTGTAATGTGTTATGTAATTTGATTTCGAAAAAAAAAATATTTTCATTAAAAAAAATATTTTTATTAAATAGATGGTGGCGACGCGGGGATACTTGAGTCCAGTCTGAACATGTTTTTGGACGAATTTGAGTTTTAATTCTCCATTCTCATTGGTGGTCGAGCCATGGAACGAGGATTGTTTGAAAATTTAAATTTGGGAAGGTAAAAATTGTTCCCAACATGCTATGTTGCCATGTGTAATCCTCAGTGATGCTCACGCACCATAGTCAAAAATCAATAATGTTCATAAAATCCAAAACTTATCCTTCGGGCGCACCTAAAATGCAATCAAAGTCAAGTCTAAAACTCAGGCTAGAACAAGAACATAGATGAAAATATACGAAGGTTAAGTTTCATATTATTTAGGGAGGTTATGTTTCGTACATGTTTGATTCATATAACGCGTCAGATCTTTCCCCTTCCTTCTTCTTCATTTCAATTCATAAAGTTTACTTATAATACAAAATATAGCTCGTGAGTAAACTTCATTTTATATCATTTTTCATGTTTTCTTGATACTTCTATTGCATTGCATTCAAGTCCAGGACATCAATCAACCTCTACTCCGCTCCATTCAATTGAAAATTATCGATTTCCCACATTCGGTAAGTTTTTTAATGCATTAATTTGAAGTTAAATGTATTATAGATTGTTTATGCTACATTAGAACGCATAATATGTTGTTTAGTGGCGCATGGATACATATTCTCTGAAGTTTGAAGTTAGAGCATTTGGGTATGCACATAGTTTCAAGAGGATACAAAAGTTAACTTGTGCATTTTGTTGTTTTGTAATGTGGGAGTTAACTTCCGAATTGTTTGTTCTGTGTTCCTTTTTCGATTTTGCTTGTTTTGTCTCTTGGGTTTGGCTTTTCTAATTATGATATTGTTTTTCTTGTACAATTACAGGTAAAATGTCTGACAACATGGATAGATTGAGACATTGTATAGTGGTCTAACATGGTTATATTTGAAGGAAAATAGCTAAAACCTCTCATACAGTCGTTAATGCCACTTCATTTGATGTTGAAACATCATCTTTCGGAGTTCACATGTCTCCAACATCGTCCTCCTAGAGACATGAGTCCGTGCTGCTGTCCTAGAAGTTTAACATGTTTCTTCCATTCTTGATGTTTATCTAGGAGACCCCTTAGACACCTCATTGCTTTTTCAATATGTATACCATGTGGCCGGACATGTGTGGGATGAAAAGGTAAAATAAATCTGTATTTATTCTTTTAAGCATATATGGTATAAGATTTGAACATTATGACGTTGATGTATTTTTTACAGTAGTGTGGCTCGTTGAAATGTATCAATCACATAATGAAGAATGTGAAGCTGCCATAACCTGATGAACCATGGTTCCATGATGTCATGCAACTATCTAGGCTGCAAGATTTATCTAGGACATGGTATATTTTTTTCAACCATGGTCTGTTGTCATTTTTTATCGAGATATAACACTCAGAGACTTCTTCATTCCATCTTCTAATCGGCGAGAAGCCCATCACACTAAATGATGCATCACCTTTTCTATATCTTCTAGTTAAGGGAAGATTTTAAATTACTTCATAATCAGTAGACTTGAGGTACTTGACATGATGATGCAATATTTGGAAGCTGACTCTAAGATGGATGACACTATAGGATCATTCTAGGTTTGGTTTTTGGATAACATAGTATCGCAATGCGAAAAACAACTGGCGGAAAAATATAGTTGTCACCGAATATTATTTATCCCGATGGAGGAAAGGAAACAATTGAAGAAACCTCAAGAGGGAGAAGACATGGTCTCACAACCAAATCTTAGGTTAGGGAGTCAATTACGCAAGAGGAAGGTATTAGCATCCCCTCACATCCGTTGTACTCAACGAGATCCACTCTTGTTGTTCTAATCGAAGGGTGTATTTATCTAAAGCTCTACTTGCTAACGGAAACGGAAGGGAGAAAAAGGTGACTCGATAGGACTTCGTCGTCTTATGTCTACGTATTCCCTCGCGCAATGGGAAAGTCAGAGAAAACGTAGTTCGGAGGACTACGGGTGAATGGGAGAGAGAGAGAGAAGAGACGAGACTTAAAGGGTAAAAGAAAATTCTAAGGGGGACTCGATCCTAGATGTTATCGTGTCAAATGGTCCTATAGTTGAGGATGAAAAAGAACTTTATCCTAAATGTTATCATGCAAAGGTTTGAGACATAGAAGGATATTACGTTCCAATTTGATTTAACCAAGCACAAGACTTAACTTAATCGAACTAAAACCAATCCTAATGGAGCATGTCAACCATCACAACATCATTCAAGATAAGGACTTATCGAGATTATCAAAAGTCTAAATCTAGACTTGAAAGCACAGTGAGAAGTTTAATATAACTAACCCATCACATTTATATTAATTAGAGGTGGCAATGAAATTCATTTAGATAATATCCATCCAATCCATCCATAAGACAAAAAATAATTTAATGGATTTGATCCAATCCATCCACTAACTCATATAGATGAATTTAATCCATCCATCTCATTTTATAAATCCATTGGATATTATGTTGTCACTTATTAAATTAAGAATTTTTAAATTAATTTTTTGGATGGATGGATATCCATCCATTAGAAATATGTTAATGGATGGATTGTATGGATTTTATCTTTTAATGGATGGATTGGATTGGATTTTTATTAAGAGAGTTTAGTGAATTGTTAATGGATTAATGGATTGCTTTGATCCATCCATTAACAATCCAATCCATATCCATCTAATCCATCCATTTTGCCACCCCTAATATTAATCAAAACCTCCTGAGATTTAATCAAATTCAAATCCACTATAAGATCACAATTAACCTCAATATTAGAATCCAAACTCGGCCAATGCTAAGATTCGAGCTTATCAACATCATCCAATCGAGAGTCAATTCCATATTTACACTAATAATAAATCATGAATTTAACAATAAAAATTAATATCAAGAACAAAATCAATATCAACATTGACATCACCAAATTAATTAGCCATTAAAATTCGATATAAAAATTAATTTAAATTAAAATCAACATATATATTAAACCAAAAATCAAAAATCAACATTAAACTAAATTAATAAAAAAAAAACCTAGGGTGTAAAAAGAATATGGATGTGTTAAGAAGCAAAATAAATGGGCTTATGATGATCTAGCCCAATCGTGTTGCCGAAAAAACAAATATGAGGAGAAAAAACCAGTAAACCAATTCATTCTTCTTCTTCTACTCTCACACCATTCTTTCTCTCTCGCGCCTCTCACACCAAAAAATCTAGCACGTTTTTGAATTCCTCCGCCGCACCGTGGCATCAATGCCGGCGACGATGGAGATCACTCCCAACTCACTACATCCTTCTTTTACCACTCTTACAATGGTTTCTACTCTCAGATTTAAACTCTAATGCGAAACGGCGACAGGGACTGATCCAGAATTTTTTTTTGGTGCGGGCAAAATAATAATAATAATAATAATAAATAATTAAAAGTAGCTCAAATTGAATGTGCTATATGAATTAAATGTGTAATTTGGTTAGATTTTAATTATGTATGATAGAAAAACAAATTGTTGATATTTATAAATCAACAACTTAAATAATAATAATAATAGAGTTAATAGTTGAAGAATAGAAAAAATATATTATTTTATATCTATAAAAATAAAGATAGCTCGATGCTATTTAAATATGTATATATTTAAGTATGATTTATTTTTACTTTTCAGCTACCAAATACATATTTTTATGTTTATGTGTTCAATAATCATATATAATTTATTTCTCATGTCATTGTACATTTGTTTGGTTACATATATCATTGTACTTTTATTTTACACATATGAAATAATTTAATATTTTTAGTGGGGGAAATAGTGAATTTTTAATAGAAGTAAATATAAAAAATATTCTAATTCAATAAAATATAACAAATTGATAGTATATGTTAGTGGGGGCAAGTGCCCCAATTTACTTCACATAGATCCGTGCCTGAACGGCGACAACACGATAAAATTGTGAAATTGACACGAAAATGCTTACAGTGATGATGATTCGATCAGGTATGTCGTTCGTGACTACCTTTGTGTTGATGTAGC